TTTCAGGATATTTCAGGAACCAAGTCGGGTACCTAAATTTTGAAAACGGTAATGAATAGGCAATCGAATTCTGCCCAATTTTGCCCATTTAACGGCTTATCTATTTTAAAAATGTAGAAGTTACTCATACAAAGATTCAGAAAATGGCCACCCTGTATATTTTTTTAGTTTATTTTTGGTGGACGGTTTTACATTTTCAAAATGACCAAAACATTTTCGGATTACTTTATTGTGACTGATTTGCCGCCTTCCAAATAAAAAAAGCCAACGAGTAAAAATGTTCAAAACCAATGAATACAATTTTATGGAGGATAGAAATAAAAAAAAATCTCCATTTCTTGTGAAGATGAAGCTGAACTGTACGGTTTTTGTATCTGCAAGTCTGAAAAAAGTGTAAATATTTTTTAAACATATAACAAAATATGAATATAAGAGCAACTAATTGCACGTGTGTCATATCCCTAAAAATTATGAAAACATATGTAGAAAAACTTATTTAATGTGTGTCATATCCTACAAAATTATGAAACTCACTTATCGAGCTGAATGAAGTGTCAATTTTCTTGCTGTAAGTTGCTTTTGAGGCTTTATTCTGCTTCATTCTGCACATAAAGCATCCGTCTAATCCGGTGTAAGGCCTGATTATGTTGGATCTGGAGGCAGCAAAATCTCTCTAACATTAGTATCTGTCTTGAGTTGGCCCTCGTGTTTGTTCAAGTCGGACAAAGTTTTGACATTATTTCAAAAAATCTACCCTTAAACTGAAATATTTTGAATGTGAGCAAATAGCAGGTCGCGTTGCTTTAGACAGATAAAAAGCTTCAGGCGATAAATGATGATGTCTGTCTGAAATGCCAGACGCACGTACCCCTGTCACAATATTTTGTCAATTTTAATGGCTGTTTACCCAACTGTGAGATTAATATGCCATTCCACGGAATGAGGCGACATGCTGATTATTTGCGCAATAAAGGATTTGCTACAGTGACTTGATGGGCCCCGGGAAAGTGTACTTAAATCGGACGTAAAATATTGCGATATTTTCGCCCGGATAATAAAACCGGTTAGTAATAAAGAAGACATATTCATATGTCTTCTTTATTATACCGAGGGGGTTTATGCAGCTCCAAAGGTTAAGAGCTGAGAAAAAATTTAGGTTTAGCGAACTCATGAATGTTTCCTGGCCTGGTGACGAACACGTGATAGTAAATGATTTAGCGGAAAACAATCAAGGCGAGTCATGTCTGGCCATCGGGCTGGTCATTCAACCGATCCGCTTTCTTCAAAAAACCGTATCAAGGCAGGTGCTAAGTTGTCTCGCAAAGTACCGTTTTGCTGCAACCACATTTCTTTAGCATCCTTTCGGGACCTATTGAAATTTGGGGAAAAAACTTATTCAAGCTGCCAAAAGTTTATTTTGCAAGAAATCTAAATATGTTTAACTAACTTTGGAAGAACACATTTACTTTGTTGATTGTCTGAATGGAAGTCTAAAATGTGGAGTATTGTGTTTTGTAACTGTACCGTTAAATGAAAAAATGCTTCAACAGAAAACAACATATTTGGAGTAAAAATTCCGTTT